CAGTTAGCACTCTTCGCATCAACAGTAACACTGAGGCATACATAGAGGCATTCTCTGGATGTTGCCTCCTTAGTGGCTTGCCTGCCTCCTGATTGTGGTTGCCCAGGTTTTCATTTTGTCTGCAAAAAGATTACTGATCGCAAATTTCCTTCTAACTTTAAAAATATAAAACTTTAAAATATACAACAGAAATTAGTAACAAGTAACAAGATGTGATGTATGAGAGCAAACTTTCATAGGACTTCCCAGGACTATCATGATTGTGTTAATTAGTATATTTTCACACTTTTTTTTTAGTTGTTCAAATCTAACAAGCTGTTAATGGCATGCCTTAACTAAAATCAAAAATGATGTGCGCACATTGTCCTGTTTATATGGTAAATGCCAGACATTTTGTAACTTGTTGTCAGTGCCTGAGCAGTCTTCAAAGGCCTCATTATTGCTCAGCCAGATGTCTCACTACTATCTGAATTAAAACTAATGTCACATATGCGGTGTAAACAGCCTGCAACTTTCATAGTAGCACCACTAAAATTTGAGAGTTTCGATATCACTGTGCGAGTTCATAAGTGACAAAATATGTACCCTGTCTCTAGCAGCTAAGCTGTGCTATAATTTGTCACAACACACAATGACTGGGTTTCTCTGTGGGAGAATGTTACTGTGGTGTGAACTGCAAAGATGTTAATGCCTGTTGAAATTCCCAATCAGTGTTCTTGGTAACGGTATTATGCTGTTAAGAGTCATAGTTTGTGGTTTTATAAAAGCAAACATAAGAGGTTTGCACATGTGTTGATGTGTGTACATGCAGCGGTAAGTGTAAAACGTGTCATGCCGCTGCATTGTAAAGAGCTGGTTTTCCATGTGAGAGCCAGGGACAGCAGTTTTTGTACCTTGCACGTCTTGTGGTTTTGTTAAATATTTCTGTGCAGCTGTGTGTGTGGTAAGGTGGTCAGAGTGTATGCACTCACACACTAGATTTATTCCCACCCCCCCTGCCTGCTGGCAGCTGTGTTGATTCTGGCTGGCTAAAATGTAGGTCAGAGAAAAGGCAGCCCCCAAACCAGTCCAGTCCTTCCCCTCACTCCTGTCCCGCCCCCTTCAGACTCCGCCTTCTCCAGCTCTCTCCAACCCTCAGCTCCTTCCATCCAGCCCTTTCCCCATGGCTTCTCTCCTGCAGCCCATGCCCTTGCCCTTAGCTATTTCCCAAAATCTCCAGTGCTCTCGCCGACCCTCTCTTTCTCTACCTTGCCCGGCCCTCTTGCCAATCCCTTTGCCAAGCCCCTCTACTCCAAAACATACATCAATGCAAAGGCTAGCAGTTCTTTGAGCATGTGTTTTTGATGTTTGTGTAGAAAATCCACATGTGCAAATACATACACCACACTTGTTTTTCATAAAAACTGTGTGAGATACACAATATTTATTTGCAGAGAGCTTGTGTGCACATTTTTTGTCATGCCATGCTGTCTTTATTGGTTGAAGCAGAAATTACTTCTATAATTAAGATAAGTCTGTTCTGTGTTGGCCCTGTCTCACATCTTACAATGTTCCACCCATCTCAAATGTGGATCCCAGTTGATTTATTCCCCTTCCTTTGGTAACTAAATCCCTCAATATGACCTCCCCCTGAAGAACTGAGATATTGTCAACAGACTTGACCCAGTACAGCCCATAGACCTCTGAAATATAGAACTACTATTCAACACTGTGACATGTGAATGGCTGTCACTATCCTTACAGGACAGGCTTGTCTAAATATGAGCCATCACTTTTCTCCACAGCTCAGATTTGTATGCATTTTTCATCACTAGTGGCCCCCAAGAGGAGGTTATATTTCACTTTTTCTATCATGAGAACAAAGTGCATGTCAAGGGTATAATTAACTCTAATTACACCAGGAAAGGCCTGGATAAGTGTTGTTACTGACTTGCCTAAAGAACATCTTGTCAGTGCTTACTAGGTCACTACTATACTGCATTATTTAATTGCATTATTTTACAACCCTTTATCTATTGCATTAATAGAAATTGTAATAAGGTCAGTCACTTTAAAAAAACAACAACATCTGGACACATAAGAAGTAAAAAGAGAAAAGAGAGACAAATTGTCACTGTAAGGATAAGGGATCTGCAAGGTCATCTTTCAGCAGTGTCCGTACATCTCCAGGCCTGGGGCAGATTTATGGTAACCTTCAAAGCTTCATTGTGTGTGTCCATGGGAGAGAGAGTCCGGTCCAGGGGAAATATATCTGGGACTTGTAGGGGGAGGCACAGAGGTGGAGCCTTTATAGAGACACATACATACACAAGTACATTTGATACATTTGTCCGTGCACAATACAGTACATGCATTCTTTTGACCACAATGCGTTCCCTTTGACTCATACAAACATGTGGTGGTGGAGGAGGAGAGCCAGCAGTCCATTGATCTCTTTGCTCAAATTTTGGTGATGATAAAAGAGCTCTCAGTTCACATTCCCTGTAGTTTTATCCTGACCGAAGACCACACATAGGTGGAGGAACGTTTTTTTTTCTTGTTCCTCTCAGGCTCCTGTAGCATGCTGTGACTCATAATGTTTAATGCCTCTTTGTTGCAGGGGAAATCGGTGTCTTTGACTAACTTCTTCAGGATAGCCCGGAACACCATGACCATGTGCTTTAACAAGGAACCAGGGGCTGCTGAGGTTGAGGTTAGCATTCTAGCATCTTGATTGAACAACATTTTCTGAATGTAAACTGCATTGTCTACAATACCTTCAGTGGCTCATATTAAAATGTATGTCAGTGATGTTTTTCTGAATTAAATATTTAGTCACTGCCAGAAGTCAAATGCACTAATCAAAAGTTTATGTAAAATCCTTCAAATGGGATTTACTCTGTTCTCAACCACCAGCACACCTGAATCCTGTACCCTGCCTTATGCATTCTTGCACTGATTGGCTTTTCCTTCCCTTTTGTTCTTGCAGCAAGAGTACTGGAGGATTGTGGAGCAGAGAGACAGCCATGTGGCGGTGCATTGTGGGAAGGTGGACACCAGTACACATGGCAGTGGTTTCCCCACAGGAAAGTCAGAGCCATTTTCAAAGTAAGTAGCTTGCAGACCTTACAGCGCACTCACTTTAAAGTTTGCTGTTGGTTTTCCACTGGTATGAATCTCAGATGGTGAATCTGGGGAGGGGATCCTAAAGAGTAACACTTTCTGCTTCCTCAGGAGTGACCACTGAGGTACCCTTGAGCTATCCCGTTTAGGTATTCTTTGGTATCCCTGGAAAAAATGCAGAAATGACAATTTCCTCTTATTTTTTCCTCAGACATGGATGGAACCTCACTGTCCTTCCCAATAACTCTGGATCCATTCTAAGACATCTGGGTGCTGTGCCTGGTAAGGACATGTACAGGCTGTAGCTGCTCAATAGCAAACTCAAAGAAAGAGATTTACCTGTGAATAGCTCCTTTTAAAAATTCATATATAGGGCATAAATGACTTTTTAGCTCTCTTCAGATTCTGTGCTGTTGTAATAACCAATGGTCTTGTTTCTCTCTCTTTAAACCCCTCTGTCTCTCTAGGGGTGACCATTCCCTGGCTTAACATTGGCATGGTCTTTTCTACCTCATGCTGGTCTCGAGACCAAAATCGCCTTCCATATATTGATTACTTACACACTGGTGCTGATTGCATTTGGTAAGTATTCACTGGGCTCTTTTCCTCATTGTCACTGGTACAGTGTGTACACGATCACACAAATTCTCACCCACATTTTTAAACATGCGTAAAATTTGCAGAGAGAACGAATAGAAAAATGTGTGTCCTAGGTGCTGATGTCTCTGTCCTTGTGTGTTCCTCCCACAGGTATTCTGTCCCTGCTGAGGAGAACGCTAAGCTGGACAAGGTGGTCCATACACTGCTTCAGGCTAATGGCACCCCAGGACTAGAAATGTTGGAGAAGAACATCATGGTCAGTGTTTTCTCTCTCTGTCTCTCTCTCTGTGTGCGTGTGTGCGTGCAAATATAAACGTGTAAAATGTGTATAAAATATGTCCTTCTTTGTCATATATTGATCAGAAGTGTTTTAAATTTTTTGGAAGCCACTTAACTTTACTTACAAATTATACAGGTTCAGAAATATAACACTCATTTCTTTCTCTCCCTCTTGATCTTTCAGATCTCTCCAGAGGTGCTGTGCCGCGAAGGCATCAAGGTTTACCGTACAGTCCAGCGGAGCGGCCAGTTTGTGGTCTGCTACCCCGGTGCCTTTGTCTCTAAAGTGTGCTGTGGCTACAGCGTGTCAGAGACGGTGCACTTTGCCACGCCGCACTGGATGAACCTGGGTTACCAGGCCTCAAAGGTCAGTGCATGAATCTGCATGGGCAGATCAGTACAGGGGACATGTTAAATTAATAATGGCACAGATGCAAAAGTGGAAAAAAAAGATATAAATGTTTCTTTGGAATTACTATTTTGCCTGTGTATTACCGATTGTACATGATGTGTTTTATTTAGCTCCTTCTTTGTAATGCCTCACAACACTGGCCCCCTGTGGACAGTGGCAGTTAAAGCTGATTTATGTAGAGTTGATTGAAACTGAAATGGATAAATTAACTTAGAACCTAGAGCTTGATTCTCTAATCAGCCAACGTACTGAACTTTAAGGAGTAATTGCAGCTGTAAGTCTCCCCGTGGGGTGTATTTAGAATTTTTAGTGATCATGAGCAAGCCTTTGGACCATTGGACCTCATTATAGCAGTAATAGAAGAAAAGAAAATGCTCCTTACTGTCATCAAGGGCATTATGGTGATGGAAGTGCGTAGACCTTCAGCAATACCATCGAATTCATAGCCACAGCACAGATTGTTCTCAAGGGTAATATGACATTCATACAATGCAACTGTATTATGGTGCACTGCCTGAAACATTTTCACCCGAATGATTAACATTTTTTACGTAAGAATGAGGAAGAGGACGAGAATCACTGATCAAAGTGTACATAGTCTGTGGTTACACTGCAGCATTGTCAGCTGTACTCTTACTTCTTTAGATGTTAGAATTTGAGATTTAATGAGAATCATAATTGAATAATTAATTTGTGTGCAGGACCTGAAGTTTCGTCGTATAGCCAAACCCTTTTCCATGGAGAAGCTACTGTACCAGATCGCCACGGCCGAATCCAAGAGGGACAATGGCCTTCTCCTCGCCACCATCTCCGCCCTACTCCAAGACCTCAGGTAGGATGCAGCACAATACTATTACTGTTCTAAGCTGTAGGATTTTATTTTCAGTTTCATTTCCACATTCTTTTGATTATTGGTTTAAGAAAGCAATCAAATGTTGCATTAAGGGTATATTCATACTGTATTTTCTTTTAATTCATGTATGTTATTTGAGCAATATATAGCTAGCATTGAAGTTATTTTCTGGCTTTAACTTGGTATCTTTCTTGTTTGATAGGAACATAGAGATACGCCAACGGGGGGAACTTAAAAAGGCAGGTTTGCTCTCCTCTGCCCGCTACGGCACCCATGATGGCAGCCTGGGGCCTGGAGAGGGACGCAAGAAGCCCCGCGGGAAATGGCTGGCACTGGAGTCCTCAGAGAGACGCTGCCAGATCTGTCAGCATCTCTGCTACCTGTCCATGGTGAGAGCAGAGGACCCATTAGTTTAACATGAATGGTTAAAAGATATGAGGATTCATTTTCTAAAATCCTGTAGTGCTAGTTTGGATACATTTTGTCATTTTACTTAATTAATATAATAAACATAGTCTAGTTTTGTCAGCCAAGGCAGTCCTTGGAGAAAGTTTGTAATCAATATTTATTCATGAAATCAGTCATACTAGTGGCTTTAATTTTTCTATTATTATTTAGCATTATGCCCTGCTATAAAACATACAGTTTATATACTGCACTAAAAAAAATTAAATATATATATATATATATATTATATAATATTTATATAATATATATATATATATAATATATTATATATATATTATTTATTATTTAATTTTATATTATATATATATATATATAATATATATATATATATATTTTTATATATATATATATATATATAATTATTAGTATTTATTGTGCTTTTTATGGCTCAGGTAGTATGTCTAAAACCAAGTTGATTAATCTAAATAAAACTGTATAACAATGTTATAGAATAAGAATTAAGAAGGTATAAAGCAAATGTTACTAACTGCCAGTCTGGAGTGGAAGATATTTATTAATGATTTATCCAGGTTTCTCACTATCTCAAAATAAAAGAACTGCGAGTGAGTGTCTGGTTTCTATAAGTAAATATCTTCTGTCCTCGTGTCTGTCTTGTGCAGGGTGGTTCAAGGAGACTGAAATGTTAGTCTTCTGTCTGGTGTGCCCTGCGCTTTGTAGAGAAGCACACAGTCCTGCAAGGGCCTTAGATGAATGTAGATATGAATGAAGGTGAGGCGCCCACTGTTTGTTTCTGCTGTGGTTCAGTCCCCTCTCTGTCCAGAAATGGGGGCGACATCAAAGCCTAGCCTTTCCACAGTCCAGGAAGTTGGATTTATTCCATTCTTCCCATGGTACTATAATTTATTGTGTGAATCTGTTAAATTTACAGTGTATCAATGTTAACTGTATTTTTCTTGTTTCAATTTCAATCAAGGAGCAAAATCAACAGTTTGGTGAACCAGGTGTGTGGCCGGGCCATGTTAAAAGAAATTGGAGCGGCGGAGTGGTGGCAGTCGTTGTCAGTGCAGGAGGGGGGGGGACTCCTGCCACGGCTTAAGCCCTGCCAAAGATCGCGGCTAAGCGAGGCCCCCGAAAGCGCGCCACTGGTGGAGGTGTCTCTGGCACGCCTGTCCTCGAGCCAACATACCGAAGCCGCTGCCTGTGTCCCCTGAGGGGAAAAACTTGACACACGCCGGGTGCCGCTGTGGCCAAACGTCCCTGCCCCTCCCTGAAAGCCCTCCCAAAAAAATCCCCCCTGTGTTTTTTTTTGGTTTTTTTTTTACATTAAGTCAGTCACTATCAATCCCTCCTCCACCACCCCAATTTTAAAGATTGATTGTTTTGAGGGTTTGAAAAATCCCTCACCTGACCTCAAGTCCCCCCTCCAAAAAAATATTCACCTCCCCCTTAGTTACGACAGGGCTTGTTTATAAGATGAAAAGAAAAAGGAACAGCAGTTTTTTTTGCAACTAGTGTGGAAAGAAGAATTTGTTTTTATTCTGGATGATTTTTAAGAACCCTGTCCCTTTTAAGGTTCGTCCTTTACAACATTACAAGGCATTAAGTGTAAAATTTCACGAAGAAAGACTTGATGGGGGCCTGGTATACCCTTTACCTCCAAACCCTCATCTCTCTTAACTGATGTTAATTTTGTTACTTCCTTCTTGCATCACTCTTTCTGCCCTCATCCCGCACCTGGAGAACTGAACCCATCCTTCTTCAATCATGCGTCACCTCAGCTGTGAACATGGGAACAAATGAAAAGGCGGCCTTTTTTTTTCTCCCCAGTTTTTTCTGAAATGAAAAATGAACCATTCAGTTATTTACCCAAAGTTCTCTGTCCTTGGTTTGGGAAGAGAGTTCCTTTTTTATTGATTTTATTTTCTTGATGCAGCTTTCTGCATTGTTTTTTTTTTTTTTAAAAAGGGGGGGTGGTGACGCAAGGTAAAAACTTGAAAGACAGACGATGTTGGTTTATTGTTGGTTGGCTATGTTTTTTCAAGTTCTATTTTGAATTTTAGCTTTGTTTTTGCTAGGTTTTTTGCAAGAAGTCTTCTGTGTATTTGATTTTTGTCATTGTGGATGTTTCTGTTCGTTGGTGGATGTGAGAGGGGGCAAAGCTACAGCTGCTTGACCTCTGAAAGGTCATCGCTCACCTCACTTCCTGGTAGTATGGAGGGATCCCTCCTTCGCTAGCAAGTGAAAACCGTGCCTGATACTTAGCAAGGAGATCCATTTTATTGGTGCTGTTGATTATAATTACTGTATAACAACACAAAAATGTTAAATCTGGGGGTTAGCGCCTGCTATCGGCTAACAGCTAGCTCACGCGCCCCCACCCCACAGGGCAGAAAGGCTTTCAGGCTTTTCTGGTTCTAGATGTGCAATCATATTAACATTCCATTCTTCCAGTCCTCTTGTTTCATCTGTACCAGTAAACATTAATTATTATATTATATTATTATTATTATTTTGTGTTTTTTACTTTTGTTGATCTGATGTGTTATCTCAAGTAGAGCCACTAGTCAAAGAGTGTAAAATGTGAAATATCAAATCCAAGTTTTGGTTGTTTTGTTTTTTATTGTCTTTTGTTTTTTTGGCTTTTGCATTTTTTTCCCTTTTCCAGATATATTATGAGTGATTTTTAGACAGAAGAAAAAGTCCAACACAAGCAAAACATCAACTTTTTTTGTACATAATCCTGTAAATTTCTTTAAATACTTGAGCCTTTTTCTGGGGTTAAGGAAGAAAGAAAGGAAGGAATAGGGGAGAGAAAAAGTTCCAGAGGAGAGTGCTTGATGAAGAAAAAGCCTTACATTTTCCCTTTCTTCATCCATGTGAGTTTGATGCTTACAGGGTTGCTCTGGTAAAACATGTATAAAAATTTTAAGTGCTGCTTATATCACTAAGAAAGAAGATATTGAGTAGCCAATAACTGCCCCCCAACCTAGTTTTGTTTGTTTAGCTTTACTTTTTTAAAGAAAAGGGAAAAAAAGATATGTTCACAAAAAAAAATGGGTTTTTACATTTTCATTACTGAAAATTCAACAAAAATGTAGTAGCTACTCATGTTGCACTGAGCTTGCCAGTGGTGACTGTCAAGAAAAATCCTATAATCCAGTTTGTTGGTTGTCGTCCCTCGCAGAAGACTGAACTGTTTTAGGACTATTTAATGAAATACCAAGTTGGGTGTTTTCAACATAATAAAAAGTGGTTGTCAAGTTTTTATGGCCTTACAATATATTTTATTCTGATGGGATTTTTTTTGTTTTTCAGTTCTCTTTTTTTTTGTTTTGTTTGTTTCTTCCATTTTCTACAGTATAAACTACTTGCTCACGGTGGGGTCTCTGGTGACTTAATTTATTAGTGCCGCATCTCGGCCTTTCCCTCCACTTGGAAAGAGAGTCTGATGTTGGTTATATTGACAGTTTTTTACTTTTGCAGTTTGTACTTAAGGTTTAATAAAAACTTACCGACAATTCACGGTCATTTCTTTCCAACCTACTTTGTGTCTCTTTGTGTGTGACTTCTGACGCAACTGCAAGAACAAACGGGGTTTAACAGCTTCATAATATAGATTTAAAGTTCTTATCTGGTGGAGTCTAGTAATGTTAAAGGGCCATCTCACCAAAATTACAATAATCTTTTGGATAGTGAGGTTGATTGCTTCGGCATTTTTCTAAGACTACCGATAGATATTTTATTTTTGAATGATGTGAGCTTCATGGACACATTTCCATGCACCTTTTTATCGTATTGTGGTGTAGGCAGGAATGGAGGCATCTCAAAACAAACTAAAACCCAAACTATTGCCATTGGTAGATACAAGTGAAAATATACAAGGTTTGGTTTCATTTGGGTAAATTGACCCTTTTACGACAATACAAAAACAAAGGTTTGTACCGTGGCATTATCGAGTTTCATAGTGAGTAGCAGCAGGTGTGGGGTAGACTAGAAGTGCTCTTATGTTAATTTAACACAGCTTATCAGGCTATTCACACGTCACACATTGCACATGCTAACTGTTGGAGGACCCTGTAGTTCTTCGTAACCTTAATTAAAGTGCACTGGAGTGACTGTAACACACTGACACCAGCTATTTACTATTCACAATGAACATATCCACTCTCAGCCTTCAAATGCCATTCACTCTCAGCGTAACACTGGTATTGCTTTTCCTTATTTATCAGTTAATAAACATTTAACTTTAATAATGAATACATACATGGTAAAATGTAACCCTTTTCCTCCCGAGAGAAAACTCCTGTATTTCAAAGCGTTTTTCCCCTCCTGCAGAACACTGTCCACCTATCCATTCCTTCACCGTGTCAGCTTTCCATTTGTAAAGAGCTCCGGCAGGGCTGTAAATCAAGACTGGGCGCACAGGGACCGTTAACATGCTTGAACCCCTAAATCCTGCTCACATTTAATTCTTTAACGTGTTCCTGAAATGCTTAGATGAAAATTAAACAATGCTGGGGGAGAAACATTTATTACCAACAAGTCAGAAATTTTAGGCAGGGGAAAAGAAAGGAAGGAGTAATGCTGTCACATCGCACAAATGTCAACATCTCTGTACAAAAAAATCTGGATACAGTTAAACCTTCTGCGTGTTGTCCAGTGCATAGCACACAGTTCAAACAGGGAATTGGTCCTCGTTCAAAAAGAGAAGTTTACCCAAATATTATTGGTCAAAGGAATGGCAATGGGTAACTCTCCGTGTGTGTGTGTGTGTGTGTGTGTGTTAAATCAGGTACCTGAACTCCAGCCTGTCAGCTATGCAGTACTATGCGGTATATGACCCACTGCCAGGTGACTGCCAGTTACTACACTATGTTTTTCAAAGCCAGTGGCACAAGAGTATAATCTAATGGGTAGTTTACATTTAAAATATCGCAGAATGTAGCTCATAAACCACTTAAAGAAATGCAACAAGCTTTAGGGGTTCAGCTTATCCATAAAGTCATAGAAAAAAAATCATCCATGTGCCCCCTGAAGGTCATTTGTCAAGTGCTTCATGCTGTTTTTGTTAGAGTTTGCCACATTAAAAAGGGTCAATTCAGCCAAATTATGAAAAAGAATGTGGTCTAGACTTAGTTTGGTAATATCAAAGTTTCTGTGACATTATGAATTATTCAGCATAACCTGGAAGTTGTTTCTGGAAAGACAAGCTACTGTTAAGGTTTTTAAATGATTTTCAACCTTATTTTTCAACACTTTAAGCATTAAAAACAATATTCCTTTCACCTCCGTTGCATTGGGGTAGCAGCAAAAATCTCTGAAGACAGATATGTCAAGACTCGGGGGAAATAAAACCAAAACTATCTGCATGGCTAAATTCCACTAGAGATAAGTGAAATTTTTTCGATAATTTGGGTGACAACATACAGTCCAAAGAAGACTAAACTTTTAATGATTTAAAAAATATTTCCTTTATGTGACCTGCAGTAAGTTTTAAAAATAAAAGGTCATAAATGATAGAGCATTTAGTTAAAAAGACACCATCATATATTTCTATTGTGCAAAGGTTTCACCAATCACCAACACATATATTAATGCTTGACAGCTGCAGTCTGTCAGCACAGTGAACGCTTACGTGTTAGCATGGAGCACGAAAACAAAGAACCCTAACAGGGACACATGGATGAGTTTAGTGTATACTTTACTCTATCACTTATCAGTAGCAGGCCTCTCCCGGTCTCAACATGCACAAACAGAATATTAGAGCGTTCTCTGAATAATGTTGAACTATTTATGTGCATGTTAAGCCTTTCATTATGCTAAAGGAAACTCAAACCTATTTTACATGATTCAATTAGAATTGAAAACTCACATTAGTGGTCTTTTAAGGCAAGGTCATGTGGCAGTTAGTGCAACCTCTGTGTATTTTCTTTCATATATTTTTCTTCAGTATGAAAGGAATTTGAGAAAGGAAGCCAATCCGAGTTTGATTTCACAGCTCTGTGTGTTTGTGTGTTTGTGTTTTAATTCAGTCCCGTCTGTCCTCAAACCTTCGGCCTGCTCTCCTCACAGTCTTTGCTGGCCTGCTCCTCTCGGTCCACCACGTCCACCAACGCTGTATCAGGGTGCACCTCCTCTTCATCCAGGGTCACCACCACGGGGGGCCTTCTCCTCCTTATTCCTCCCCCTGATCCACCTCCACTTCCTCCGTGCTCAGTCTCCTCCTCCTCCTCATCGTCCTCCTCCTCCTCCCCGGCCTCCGTGTCCTGGCTGGCTGAGTCGGTGCAGGTGGATGAAAGGGAAGAAAGCTTGTGGCGTAGCTCAGCCTGGGTGGGAACCTGGAGACTGATCTCTGTGGTGAAGGACTCAACATCTGGACCTGGGAGGAAGAGGAGTCACTTAGATAGTTTCAGACTTTGTTATTGAGAGATCCAGCTGGATGTAATATGGCCAGGGCTCACACCCTTGACGCCTCACTGAACTATGATACACAAAAAAGGACAAAAATCAAACAATGAAAAGCTTCATACTTGACTGCAGCATCCTATCTCACCTATTGCAGCACCTGTGTGACCTTTATTCACTGTGTATCTCTCCTTGTGCAAAACATTACTAAACATTTTCCACTGCACAGAACACCCTGGTTGCAACTGACATGATCAAAAATAGTCATGGCTTGCTAAATAAAGCAACTTTAAACATTGATAAAGCAACTTTATATCGAGCCTTATGCAGTGTCTTTTATGTGCCTTATGTTTGACTTTATATGGTAGATAGCTCTATTCTATTGGGGCTTTTTATGCCTTTATTATGATAGAACAGGTGAAGATAGACAGAAAGGGGGGGGGGACAACAGGGACGACACACTGCAAAGGGCCACAGGCTGAAATCAAACCCAAACCGCTGTGTCAAGGTTCTCCTTTTTGACTGTGTTTGAGGTAGAGAGATAATTTTTTGCTGAATACCAGCAAGCATGATGACACGGCATATTTAGAATACCTTTTTTCATAGAGGACATTAACATCTATGTCATAAGATTTGTTAAGCCCTAATTAAAAACAGATTGTACAGTCAGATTAAAGATCAGATTAAGAATCAGATTAAAGTTCCTGGTGTTGTTCTCTTCCCCGAACGCCGCCTGCTACAGCCTCACTACTAAGGGTAAGAAACTCTCTGGGACAGGCTGACCATTTTTAGTGTAACTGTTTGATGCTAAATTTAACAATTAAACAATTTGGTGCTTAAGTGAAAATGTAACTGATTTGTCTAATTGAATTTGAGTTGTTACTAAACTGATGGTGTAAGGCTAGAAGACGCTTAATGCTGCCTCATTAAACCGAACAAAATTCTTGAACCCAGCCTTTCAGTCTCCCTCAGGCAGCCTTCCTCAGGCTATCTGAGGTACCACCAGATCCACCTGAAAACTGCAGCACCATACTTCCTGTACCGTCACACGACACTGGCTGGTTATCGCCAGTCAATCTCAGGTTTCCTAAGCCTGCTGTAACTCAGTGTTTAACTGCGTGTGTAGAATATAGAAACCTGTCTGATACCTCAATCACACGGCATCAGTCAGCCATCTCAAGGTAAAATGTCTGTGCCTCCAAAGTGTACCGGCTGGGAATCACAACAATACTGTACATAGCAGGATAGGTTGGAAGGGTGTCAGGTAGGTGGATAAGTGATGCTGCAGTGATACCATCAGAACCTCCTTTCAGTGTTTGAATGAGTTATTGAACCTTTTTCTCTTAAAAATAAAACCACAATTCTATTATTTACTATTAATATTATTTATTTAGTTTCTGTCTTAGACCAATAGCTGCAAATAAAAGAAAGGCACCGTTGTAGTTGTTAGAATTACTTAATCGGTTTTGTTTAAACTTGCACGACTCAGTCGCCGGTCAAGATTCGCTTACATCTAATTATTTTTAGATGAACACAAGCTGTCAGTTAGATGCTGTAGGTTGTTCACTGTGACAAAAAAATATCCCAAGTAGATGTGGACAGATGGTGTCGGTGCTGGTGCATCGTGTCTAAACATTGTTCTTGTCAATCTTCTGAGTCACATACTTCTGCTTCAGTGAATTGTTTGACATAGATTAGCTGCAGGAAGTTATTTCCCTCTAGTGATTAAGTATTGGATGAATTATAATAGTTAAATGAATTTAGAGTATTTAGTAGGAACACATGTTGTGTTTATGGCCACCTACCTGTGACAGGCGAGGCAGCGCTGTTGTCCTCTCCCCCAGAGTGCAGAAACACATCCAGGGCTTCGTGATCAGACATGTCCATCAGATCCATCTGCTCCAGCATGTCCACATTCACCTCCATGGACGACATGCTTCCTATTGGCTCTGGACACGACACGAGACAGCAACATATTAGCCTCAGACAGGACTGAAGCATTCAGTGCGCAGCAGCAAGGGCTGAGTTCAGGAAGAGTGGCTCTTTATGTTTTCTTTGTTCCAGAATTTGCCAAGCAGAAGCAAATGGGAGCACGTTCAAGCTGGATGGCATTTGAAATGGGTTTGTTTACTGTATGATCCAAACAAATAATGGATTGGCAGTTGGAAGCTGTATATGAAGGCAACAAGCAACACCTACAATATCATTAAAGGATAGGTTCACATTTTGTCATGTATGTTGAAAGAGCGATCAGTCGCTGTAATTCCTCCTCCTATTCATAGTGACCATTAGAAGATCCCTCCCTGACGGAATCAGTTCAGCCAATATGAAGCTTCAGTGGTCTCAAATAGTCAAATGCAGTGGGTATCTTCCAAAGTTAATGTCATTTTAGTGCAAAATTCTTTGTATTTCCCATGACTGTTTCGTAGCTGCAACACAAAAAGGGAATTTCATACTGAAAAGATTAGACTTACACTGCTGAAGCTTCATATTAATCCTGGCTAAAACTTTAAATACATTTTACACAGAATAAGAACTTTACCTCCCCCCATCGCAGGGATATTTTAACAGGCCAGTATGGAGAGGAGAAACCCCGGCAGCAAACGATATCTCTTTCAATGTACATATGGGCATGTGAGTATTGTTTTAAGACAGCCTTGAAAAAACGTGAACCTAACCTTTAAGTGGACAGATTTCAGTGGCTCAGAGGCACAGAGCCTCCTGAAAGAGAATTCAAGTTGAAGGGATTCCACTTTAATAAGTATATAAAATAAAAAAAATAATAATGCTAATCCTCATGGTACCCTCATGTATATTTCAGGGCAGAGTCAAAACACCTTAAAATTTAATTCATGTACAGTGGAATGAAAGATTGACCTGGTCACATAATACAATGAACCCAGCACAGGTCCACTGAAAGTACATTAAGTAAGGTCTGAAAGTGGACTCCATTTAGAATCAATAACAATACATTATATTATATTAATAATATTCAACATAACGATAATTGTATTGTAGTTGATTCTACATTGTCCATTATCATTTTCTGACATGCAAGGTGAATCAACACAACTGACAGTCTCTCTGTTATCTGTTCTCATGTTCAACAGTGTATGAATGAGGCTGAACCAGCATTAAAACTGGCATACTGGCTTGTGGTTTAATAAGCCGTATAACAACAAAATCAGTGAAAACTCCTCTTACACACCAACTAATACGCTAACTACTACAGTCCTGGATTCACCACCTTGCAGGGGTACAAACCCGCCCCCTGTTCACTATCATGATGTGCTGCATGCGTCACAAACAGCCAGTCAGTGCACTGTGGGGATGGAAGGAGTTGCGAGCACAAGAGGAAGAAGGAAGATGACTGGTCGGCGCACAGCAGTGGGAGAATGTGCCATTGGCTACCGTACCTCAAGGAAATGAGGAGAGCAGAGAAGGGCGGCACAGGGAGGGAGAGCAGAAGAGTGAAGAAAGAGAGAAAGAAGGGGAATGTTATTTCCCATGGAGACCGCCTCAAAAGTCTCCCTGTCCTTTAGATAGCAACACACGTACAAGAGATCGCACACAGGCACACAAATGAGCATCAGATTTTCAGATCACTCAACGTTGGCAATTCATCCACAAATGCAGTTAACGCAAGGTGATTCGAATGTATAAACACACACACAAATGGAGATGTTTGTATTACTTAAACACACACGCATGCAAAATCATTCCCGCATTCTCACTTTATTCACCAATCCAGTAATATAAACATTAATGGCATCCTCTCTCTTTTTCTGTGGAGGCAGCAGTGGTGTTTTTTCTGTGACACATCTTAGCGGAACTTCGGTTTAATGCTCGCTAATGAATTCTCAGTATGCGGCCTCTTCTCGTGTGCATTTCCATATCTCGCCTGTCAGCCACGCAATTACCACCACATAGCAGCTATTCAGCCTCATAAAACATAGTATGGAGGATGTTGATTCAGTTTTCAGCCCCAAAAAGGAGCTGTCTCTCTAGCACATGAACAAAAATGTACAAATGACACACACACACATACACACTATAACCAACGCTATATCTATGTTGTAAAAGTCTTGGTCCAGAAAGCACTGTGTTGATCATTTCCATGTGACTGCCTCTAACATGTTCTTCTTTTAGCCCTACTGTGACCTTGCCTAAAAGGTTCTCCTGCTGGGCAGGACTGTTTTTGCCTGCAGTGAGACTGCAGAGAGCATATGTGTGTGTGTGTGTGTGTGTGTGTGTGTGTGTGCATGTGTGTGAGAGAGAGAGAGAGAGAGAGA